CCGTTTCTTATTCCCACTCATTTTTTACTGAGATCTGTTTTCAGTTGACTTTATACACATATGTTTAACTCTGTTAATTAAAGAATACAACAAATAGTATTAAAAAATCAAACTGTTCTTCAGCAGTCAAGACAAGGGCTGTTCAAGTCATTGCTTCTCAAAGCGTCTATTTCACTCCTACAGGTTGCCTTTTAGGTGCTCTGTTGGTTATCACAGGTCAGAAAGAACATATGGTATTTGTCCCTTTGAGACTGGCTTATTTCACTAAGTATGATGTTTTCCTGATTTATCCATTTTGTTGTAAATGACCAGATTCCATTTTTTATTGCTGTATAGTATTCCATAGTGTACATATCCTATAATTTCTTTATCTAGTCTTCAATTGTCTGGCATTTGGCTTGATTCCATGTCTTAGCTACTGTGAATTAAGCTGCAATAAACATAGAGGTACAGATAACTCAAGGTCTCCTGTGTGTCCATATGATTTTCCACAGCATTTTTTCCTTTTTCTTTCCCTAAAGATTTGTGTATTTATTTGAAAAGCAGACCTACAGAGAGGCAGAGGCAGAGAGAGAGAGAGAGAGAGAGGTGTCTTCCATCTGCTGGTTCACTCCCCAGATGGCTGCAACAGCCGGAGCTGTGCTGATCCAAAGCCAGGAGCCAGGAGCTTCCTCCAGGTCTCCCACATGGGTGCAGGGGCCCAAGGTCTTGGACATCTTCCACTGCTTTCCCAAGTCATAGCAGAGAGCTGGATAAGAAGTAGAGCAGCTGGGACTCTAACCAGAACCCAAATGGGATGCCAGCACTGCAGGCAGTGGCTTCACCCACTAAGACACAGCACTAGCCCCTCAACATCATTTTTTCTATATCTGAGAAGAATGTCCTTGGTATTTTGATATTGTATTGAATCTGTAATTTGCTTTTGGAAGTATGGACATTTTGATGATTCTGATTCTTCCAATACATGAACATGGAAGATTTTTCTGTTTTTTGTATCTTCTTTTGTTTCTTTCTTTAATATTTTATAATTCTCATCATAGAGATCTTTGACATCCTTGGTTAAATTTATTCCAAGGTATTTGATTTTGTTTTTGTAGTGGTTATAAATGGAATTGATCTTAGAAGTTCTTTCTCAGCCATGGCATTGTCTGTGTATACAACGATTGTCTTATGTATTGATTTTATATCTTGCTACTTTACCAACTCCTCCATGAGTTCCAGTAGTCTCTTAGTAGAGTCTTTTGGATCTCTTTTATATAGACTCAAGTGATCTGCAAATAGGGATAGTTTGATTTCCTCATTCCCAATTTGAATCCCTTTGATTTCTTTTTTTTTTTTTTTTTTCGGTCTTCCGTAGACTTTTATTATGAGAGAGAAAATAACAGCGACAGAGGTAGAGGGAAAGGAAGGAGGAAGGAAAAAAGAGCCCCTTTGATTTCTTTTTTGTCTAATGGCTTTGGCTAAAACTTCCAGGACTATGTTGACTAGCAGTGGTGAGAGTGGGCATTTTTGTCTGGTTCTGGATCTCAGACACCTTTTCCCCATTCAATAGGATGCTGGCCATGGGTTTATCATAAATTGCCTTTATTATGTTGAGGAATGTTCCTTCTATACCCAATTTGAGAAGAATTGGAGTTAGAATAGAATTCAGTAGTGAAGCTAGGGCTTTTCTTTGTTGGGAAGATCTTTATTACTGAATCAGTTTTCATCTTGGTTATGGGTCTGTTTAGGCTTTCTGTGTCTTCATGGTTCAATTTAGGTGGGTTGTTTGTGTTTAGGAATCTATCCATGATTTTGTTTATTTTTTCAAAAAATACCCAACTCTTTTGATTATCTTTAAAATTTTTTTGTTTCAATTTTGTTGATTTCTTCTCTAATTTTAATTATTTCCTTTCTCCTACTAGTTTTGGGTTTGGTTTGTTGTTGCTTTTTCTAAATCCTTGAAGTGCATAGATAGTTCATTTATTTGGTGCCTTTCCAGTTTCTTGATGTAGGCACCAATTGCTATAAACTTTCCTCTTGACATTGCTTTTGCCATATCCCATAAATTTGATACACTGTCATCTTAATTTGTTTCCAGAATTTTTTTTATTTCTCTTAATTTCTTCTGTGACCCACTGTTCATTCAGGAGCGTGTTGCTCAGTCTCCATGTGTTTGCATATGTTCTAGAGATTCCTGATTTGTTGATTTCCAGCTAAATCGCATTGTGGGCTGAGAAGATGCATGGTATAATTTAGATTTTTTTTTTTTTAATTTGCTGAGAGTTACTTTATGGTCTAGCATGTGGTCAGTTTAGAGAAAGTTCCATGCACTGGTGAGAAGAATGTGTATTCTGCAACTATAGGATGGAAAGTTAGGATATCTGTGGATATCTGTTAGGTCCATTTGGTCTGTAGTGTCGATTAACTCTGTTGTTTCCTTGCTGATTTTCTGTCTTGTTGACCTGTCCATTGCTGAAAGAGGGTGTGGGGATTGAAGTTCCCCATTACTATTGTATTAGAGTCTATGTCTCCCTTTAGATACCTTAACTTTTCTTCTAAACAGCCAGGTTCCCTATAATTAGGTGCATATACATTTCTAAGTTACATCTTCCTAATGAATTGGTCCCTTAATCATCACACAGAGCCCTTCTTTGTCTCTTAACAGTTTTTGTGTTGAAGTCTGTTTTGTCTGATGGCTACACCATTTCTTTTGGTTTCTGTTACCATGGAATATCTTTTTCCATCCTTTCGTTTTCAGTTTGCCTGCATCTTTGTTGGTGAGATGTGTTTCTTGTAGGCAGCAAATAGGTGGGTTTGTTTTTTAATCCATTCAGCCAGTCTGTGTCTTTTAACTGGAGAGTTGAGGCCATTCATATTCAAAATGACTATTCACAAGTAACAACTTTACCCTGGTATTTTTCCATAAATATTCATATTTTTTACTTTGGATTTATTTGTACTTTTACTGGGTTATTTTCTCCCTTTACCTTCTTTCATAGTGATGAGGCTGCTCCCTTCCTACTCTGCCATATTAATCTAATCCCATAACCTTGTTTTATGTATGTTTCTGTATAAAGATACCTTATTTAGTATATATTATAGACTCACAGTGAACTCATAGCCAACAGCACTGTAACTGATGTCTGAATGGAAGTTGCCTATCAAACATTTTCTCCATAAGGCATAAAACAGCCTTCTTGAATTTGGGACAGTATTCTTGGGGCCATGTTAAATAACACAGTTGCCAACAAAAAGCACAGAAATGTGGTACTAAATAGAGCATGAAAAGGACATTTGTTTACAGTTATGAGACCTGAAACAAGAAGGCAAGGCATTGCCTTGTTCAGCTTTCAGTTGGGAACTTGTGCAGTAGGAATTCGGGTTTCTTTCTTTCTTTCTTTCTTTCTTTCTTTCTTTCTTTCTTTCTTTCTTTCTTTCTTTCTTTCTGCAACTCTGCACATGTCTTTAAATAAGGACAAAAGCACTAATATTGATTTGGAACTACAAACAAATTTTAGTGAGTGGGTAAATTTGCAAGTATGGAATCAGGCTGTGAGAATCAGCTGAAGTATTGCCTTATCATTAATGCTGACCCTTTCTTTTTCCTTTATTTTTTTTTTCCTGTTTGGGGTGGTTTGCAAATTAAAGGGGTTCAAAGGTTCAGAACATCTTGATTTCAGGGTATATTTTTGATTTAGATATCTCAGTTAATTAAAACCTCAGATATGGTCCTCTTTGTTTTATTCCCAAATATTTCTTGATAAGATTTGTACTTTAGGGGATCATTATCACTTGGATTAGGATTAAAGAATGGATTTAGTGCACAGTTGCTTGCTTGATTGAATGAATAACAAATAATCTGAAGATGTGTCATCTGTCAGCTTTGGTTTCTGAGGAGTTTAGCCTAAGCTCTTCTAATTCTTAATATGCTACTCTTAGTAAAAAGTGATTTGTTTTTCCATTTTCTTTATTCACTAATTTCGACCTCCATCCCTACTCTCACTCAGTACAACCTAATCTCAGTCAGTGTTCAATAATTTAAATTTTAAGTGAATGCAGTTCACATTAACTGTCTCCTCCTCCTCCTTGTCATGGCATCAGAGTGCTGAGATGATGAAGCAGCACTGTGTTCTCATTGGTGGTTAGCTAGGGACATAGAGTGGTGACCTTGAATTGCATCTTCCTCTGGGTCCCAGTGATCTCACCCCCACCTGCTGGCAGCTTTGGAGAAGCCTGGTCCTCAGCTCTGTGATCACTGCTTTCTGGGAATGCGCCGTCATCACATTTGAGGGCTTGTTTGTTTGCTTTTTTTAAAAGATTTATTTTTTACTTGAAAGGCAGAGTTATAGAGAAAGAAACAGAGAGAGACATTAATAGAATCTTCTATTCATTAATTTACTTCCCAAGTGGCTGCAATGGCTGGGGCTGGACCAAACAGAATAGGAGCCAAGAATTCCATCCATGTCTACCACATGGGTGGCAGGGGCCCAAGTACTCAAGCCATCTTCCACTGCTTTCCCAGGTGCATTAGCAGCCAGCAGTATCAGAATTGGAGTAGTCAGGACTCGAACCAGCAACATTCATATGGAATGCCAGCATCATAGATGGCAATTTAACCTGCTACACCACAACACCAGCCCAAACTTGAGGGCCTTCAAGGCCACTGCTCCTCCACCCACCCTCAGCACATCCTTAAGGCCAGTCTGGGTCCTGTGCAGTATCCTAGACCCTCTCAAGCTGCATCCCCGAACTTGCTGTGGTGTGGAATGATAGTCTTTGTGTTAGATTTTACTGTTAGTATTAAACAAGCCATACATGTTGCATTCATCCCTAAATATCTCCTTTTGGAAAGTAATATATTATAATATTAGACTTATGTTCTATTTGTAACAGTTATATAATGAGTTATGTTTTCATCCAGTAGAATAAAGATTTTATTTTAACTTGGCATATTTATAAGTTGATTGTTTTTTGCAATTCTGAATTTCTGTTCTAACACTACTTTTCATGTATTGTAGGGGTTAAGGAATAAACCAAAGAAAACAGCACATGTGAAACCAGACCTCATAGATGTTGATCTTGTAAGAGGTAAGTACCATCGCAAAAAATATCCTACATGAAGGATCTCACTTGAGACCCCAGTGGAAAGAAGGGGCCATCAAAGAAGGATGTACTTTTCTCCAAGGGGAGGAGAGAACCTCCACTTTGCTTATGGCCTTGTCTAAATACTGATGGAGTTTGTGGTCACAAAAGGCTTCCATAGCCTTGGCAGCTCATGGCAAGAGCCTCAGGTGATCACTGATGTCATAAATAAGAGAGTTAATTGTTAAATTAACAATAGAAGTCACTGTGCACTCAGTCCCCATGTAGGACCTCTGTCCTTAATGAGTTGTACTATGAGAATTAACTGCAAATCTTGTTCTCAAAGAGTACTTAATACATTGCATGTATGTGTGGTTGCAAACTGTTGAAATCTAAAAGGTTTAAAAAAAAAGAGGTAAGTCTTGGAAAAATAGATACTTGATAGTAGTCAACACTGTCATTGAAAAAAACAATTCAAAGTATGTTAGATATATATTGTAGGAATAAAAGCAGTAGCAGCCTGGATGAAGGCAGGAATTGAATGAAAAGGAACTGAAGCATCTAAATACCATTGACTGATCTTTCCCTCCACTAAAGATTATTCCAGGAAATAAACATAAAAAATTATCAGCTTATGTTTGCTTAGTAAACTGCAGGATTCAGTTAGAAAAATTTAAATGATCATTTGTAATTTGTAACTGGAACTGATACTTGTATTTTGTCCTATATTTATAAAATGTGTGGAAGAAATTCTGCTATTTTAACTGATTGTCTTTTTCAAATTACTTGGTTTAATATTGTGGCCTGAAGATATTTTTTCAAATTATTATTATTTTTTTTTTTTTTTTTGAGAGAGAGAGAGTTACAGAGAGAGAGAGAGAGTGGGAGAGACAGAAAGGTCTTCCATCCACTGGTTCACTTCCCAAATCGCTGCAACGGCCGGAGCTGTGCCAATCTGACGCCAGGAGCCAGGAGCTTTCTTTCAGGTCTCCCACGTAGGTGCAGGGGCTCGAGCACATGGGCCATTTCTGCTGCTTTCACAGGCCATAGCAGAGAGCAGGATCAGAAGAGGAGCAGCTGGGACTCGAACCGGTGTCCATATGGGATGCCAGCATTGCAGGCAACAGCTTTACCTGCTATGCCACAGTACTGGCCCCCTGAAGAATATATATATGCATATATATATATATATATATATAGACAGACAGAGTTAGACAGTGAGAGAGAGAAAGGTCTTCCTTCCTTTTTCTCTTGGTTCACCTTCCAAGTGGCCGCTACGGCCAGCGTGTTGCGGCCGGCACGCTGAGCTGATCTGAAGCCAGGAACCAGGTGCTTCCTCCTGGTCTCCCATGCGGGTGCAGGGCCCAAGCACTTGGGCCATCCTCCACTGCCCTCCCAGGCCTGGACTGGAAGAGGAGCAACTGGGACAGAATCCGGCGCCCCAACCAGGACTAGAACCCGGGGTGCCGGCACTGTAGGCAGAGGATTAGCCTAGTGAGCCACGGAACCAGCCAGAATATTATTTTTTAAAAGTGTTTACAACCCCCAAATTGGACCTTTCTCACTCATAGCGTGGTACTGAATACAATTATGTATGTGGTGGTGTTTTTTAAACACTGAATTTTTTTCTCAGAGGAAATTAAAGAGCATTAAATGTATTCTCTGTTTATTTTACTTTTTCAGGATCTGCATTTGCTAAAGCAAAGCCTGAAAGCCCTTGGACTTCTCTGACTAGAAAGGGAATTGTCCGAGTTGTATTTTTCCCCTTTTTCTTCCGGTGGTGGTTACAAGTGACATCAAAGGTCATCTTTTTCTGGCTTCTTGTCCTTTATCTTCTTCAAGGTATAATTAAGTGATGAAAATGAAGTTTGCTTTTAACTTTCAAGATGTTATATTGTTAGGGTTACTAAGATGTTGAGCACATACTAACTACAACTGAGTATGAAGTATGCGTATATCATAAGATAGATAACTATCTTTCAAATGTTAAACATATTTGAGAAAACAAAAATGTTAGTTTCCAATATAAATTTATGAAACTTGAAATCTGTGAGCAGCTAAAGAAAAATAAAAATTAAGAGAATTTTTTTAAAATTAGAAAAAAAATCTCCAAAGTGTACCCCTCACACTGTGTAAATCACCTGGTCCAAATTCATTTTTCCCTTTCAAGCATGGTTTGTTTTTCTGTACTTTTCACCATGAAATCTGAGCTATTCTTATTCTGTATTGAAGATCTGTATACCAATCGCCGTTCTAAGTGCTTTCTCAGATTCTCAGATCTCACACCACCCAGTGAAATATTGACGCCATTGTTATGCCTGACTTATAAGGCATGGGACCCGAGAGATCCGAGGGTCCAAAACCACATAGCTACCAGGTATGGTAGAGCCCAGGCTCGACCCCCACACTTCTGTTACTCTGCCTCCCAACACAGTAGGGTTCTAGTGCACAGTCATGTACATGTACAACGTGATAGCAAAACTGCAAAAAGCTCATGGAAAATGGAATTGAAAGGTAAGGTTGACAATGGGAGCCAGCAATGATGGCTCAAATAGTTGCATTCCTGCCACCTGCAAGGGAGACCTGTATTGAATTTCCAACTCATGGCTTTGCGTCACCCCATCCCCTATTGTTGAGGGCATTTGGAGGATGAACTAGCAGATGGCACCTCTTTCTGTCTATATCTCTCTGTCTCAAATAAATAAATATTTTTATAAGATAAGTTTATTTGTGTGCAAAAAAAGGGGGGCCAGCGCCATGGTTCACTTGGTTAATCCTCTGCCTGCGGTGCCGGCATCCCATATGGGCACCGGGTTCTAGTCCCGGTTGCTCCTCTTCCAGTCCAGCTCTCTGCTGTGGCCCGGGAGGGCAGTGGAGGATGGCCCAAGCGCTTGGGCCCCTCCACCTGCATGGGAGACCAGGAGGAAGCACCTGGCTCCTGGCTTCAGATCGGTGTAGTTCTGGCCGTAGTGGCCATTTGTGGGGGTGAACCAACGGAAGGAAGATCTTTCTGTCTCTCTCTCTCTCACTAACTCTATCTGTCAAATAATTTTTAAAAAATGTTTTGAAATCCATGCATAGTTTTTTCCATAATACATATTTTCCATGAACGTTTTGATCACTGCTGTATGTGTTACCATAGAGTATTTGAAAACAGAGGAAGAAACTACTCACATTCTATCACACTAACAAAACAATTATTTTAATTTGGTTGATGCCCTTTCAGTCTGTTTAATGTGTTACTTTAAAAAAAAAAAAAAACATGATTACAATCCTGAATGATTATTCAAATGTATTTTATCAGCAGACTCTAAAAGGTATCTTTTATGTATTTGAAAATATAATAAAATGACAGACTTTTATTTAGACAAAGCTTTTTCTTCCAAGCCAGGATACATCTTCTTATGTACATAAAAAGCATGGATTGTGTTGGTTTTGTGGTTGTTGTTTTTCTGATTAAAGATGTATATGTTTATGGCAGAAAATTTGGAAAATGTAGAAAAAGCTAAAGAAAAATAACTACTCATAATCTTGCCTTTTAGTATACGTGATAATGTATCTATATAGATAAGATTATTATATATATAATTGTATATTCTTTTTTTGCCCAATGTCATAACAGATATCAGAGTATTTAATTACTAGAAAACATTTCTAGTAATTCATCCTACATCAACATTGAGTATTAAAACTGCTCTCTTTAGCTATTATAATTATTGCTGTACTGAGCATACGTGTTTATGTTGCCTTTCTTATATTTTGACTTATTTTCTTATGATAGATTCTTTAAAAATGCATTAAATTCTATGTAATAGCATTTCCAGTGGTTTTCATTCACACTAAATTTGTTTTTATTCATTATTTTGTAGGTATAATTATAATTTTTAGAGTTAAATATTTTGTTAAACATTGAGTCTATTTTGTTAAAGTAAATTATGTACACCATGACATTTTAACCCAGATTGCATCTATTCAAAATATGTACCTTACATTAACCATATCACAGTGATTACACTTAATGAAAAGAACAAAAGTCTCCTAATATTCAGATTCCCCACTTGTTCCAAAAGAGAATTAAGCCCTCTGCACTCTGGATCCCTGTGCTTAGAGGCTCAGATGATGTCTTCACTTTTTATGCTGCTGACTCTGCTTTGATTGCTTGTCATATTCTTAGGTTTTCCCCTTCCAGGTGGTGCTTGAGGGAGCCCCTGGCAATTTAATATTTCCATAATCATTAGTATTTGCAATATAAGAGAATGGCCTTCTTCAAGCACCTATATTAATTCCTGAAATAGATTATGGTCTTCTTAGGTCCTGAGTCCATCTTTTTTTATTAACTCCTATGACCAGAGTTACTAAGACTATAGCAAGTCTCAATTACATGTTGATCCCTGAGGTGGGAGCATTAAGGTCATTTGATTGACAGATAAAGGAGGGAGCCTCTCACCAGGTAGAGAGTTCATGTCCAGAAAGTCTAAAGGATTCTGAGCAAAAACACAGAATAGTGATTGGCACTGATGAGCATATAATAGTTTCCATAGAAAAATGTGTCTAAGCAAATTCATGTTTATAGTTCTGGATAGATGGGCCTCTATAAGAATCTTTATAACCTTATTATGCATTTATTATAAAACTTCCTTATTTTTAAAACAAAGAAATAAATGTATTTAAGGTTACTGTGATTCTTTGGATTATCTCTGATCTTAGCAGGAATATTCTTAGATTCATACACATCGAATTTTCATTGCAGTGTTGGGGTGTGTACTTTAGTGAATATCTTGAGCGTTATCTTATTCTAAGACTTTATTGCTAGGGACCATGGCTAAGCTTTGGCAAATAAAATAGTCCAAAAGAGCTTGTATGGACTAAGAGTTGAAACTCATTTAAATTTAGAAAAATAACCTGGCAAAAGTTATAAGAGCAACTTTAAAAGCTTTGAAGAAATGACTGTCAGATTTCTATAATTAAATGTATTTTCTTTCCCTTTTTGTAGTTGCCGCAATAGTATTATTCTGTTCCGCTTCTAGCCCACATAGCGTCCCTCTGACCGAAGTGATCGGGCCGATATGGCTGATGCTGCTCCTGGGAACTGTGCACTGCCAGATTGTTTCAACAAGGACACCCAAGCCTCCACTCAGCACAGGCGGGAAAAGGAGGAGGTATTGTGCTGAAAAGTAATCTTGTGCTAGATTTTTGTCATTTGAATGCAGGATTGTTCTTGGTTGCTCTTAGCATCATAAAATAAAACATTATCTTGTGAAGCTGCTCTTTCAAATAAAGCACTTGAGCTTAGGAATCAGTTACTTTATGTTTGCTTTGCTTCAAGACCATTTGAGACCACATTCTTGAAACCCATTTATAATCACCTGAAGTTAATATAGGGAATAAATGAAGGGACTTGAAACAGTTCATAGAAAATTGTGCAAAAAATTTTGAAATGCACAGTTTTTCTCCCTCCCTCTCTCCCTCTTTCCCTCCCTTCCTTCCCTCTGATTTATCTATTTGAAAGTCAGAGTTACAACAAGAGGGAGAGACAGAGAGAGATGAAAGAGAGATCTTCTATCTGCGAGTTTACTTCCCAAAATGGGTGCAACAACCAGGGCTAGGCCAGGAGCCAGGAGCTTCATCTAGGTCTCCTACTTGGGTACAGGGGCCCAAGGACTTGGGTCATCCTTCGCTGCTTTCCCAGGCACATTACCAGAGAGCTGGCTTGGAAGTAGAGCAGCCAGAACTCGAACCATTGCTCATATGGGTTGTCGGTACTGCAGATGATAGCTTAATCTGCTGTGCCACAGCACCAGCCCCATAGTTTTTCATAATAAGCATTTTCAGTGAACTTTTTGAAGATTCCACAGATGTTAATTGGAATTGCAGATAATTCCCACTACTTACAAAATCTTATATATTTTTTAAAGATTTATTTATTTACTTGAAAGTCAGAGTTACAGAGAGAGAGAAGAGAAAGAGAGATCTTCATCAGCTGTGTCACTCCCCAAATGGCCACAAAGGCCAGGGCTGGGCCAGGCCAAAGCTGGAGCCAGGACTTCACATGGGTGAGGAGCCAAAGCACTCAATCCACCCCCTGCTGCTTTTCCAGGTCACCAGCAGGGAGCTGGATTGGAGGTGGAGCAGCCAAGACTTGAAATGGCACCCATATGGGAGGCTGGCACTGTAGACAGTGGCTTAACCTGCTGCACCACAGTGCTAGCCCCAAAATCTTACATTTCTTTTTTTTTTTTAAGAGGTATTTTATTTATTTGAAAGAGAGAGAAAAGAGCGCAAGAGAGGTCATCCATCTGCTGGTTCACTCCCCAAATGGCCACAAAGGCAGGGTTGGGCCAGTCCTGAGCCAGTAACCTGGGGCTTCTTTAGGGTCTCCCACATGGGTACAGAGGCCAAGCACTAGGGTCTTCTTCTGTCCCTTTCCCAGGTGCATTATCAGGGAGCTGGATCAGAAGTGGAGCAGCTGGGTCTCAAACTGCAGGCTATAGCTTAACCCGTTACACCACAACCTTGGCCCTGAAAATCTGATATTTTTAAGATGCTCTAGCAAAAATCAGAGCCAAGGAAGAATTTCAGCTAAACTCTGTTAAATGCTGTTTGAAGTTGATTAATATTGCTCTTTGATTAAGTAAATATAGCTTCTTACTGGCCACTCTGCATAATGCAATTCTGTTTTAAGGATCTTTGGGAGCAATTCATCTTTTGAATATCATTGTTATATTATGACTTTTGTGGTTTTGGAGTATTGTGACTTAAAACTGTCTGATTTTTTAAAAACAGTACCCATAGCAAAAGCATTGCTGATTGGTTAGATTATAATTATCTGCGATCTAAAATGTCTTCTTTCTTCATCTGCAGATAAGTGGCATTCAAATAGGCGAGAACTGCTTTTGTAAATATGTCCAATGTGAACCCTACAATCTTTTATCCACTGATCTGTCAATATGAGCAACTTAACACTTAGAGAAATTGGTCTTGAATGTGCATCATGATATTTGGATAAATTTTGTTCACTAAATCTTAAATTTTATTGTGTAATAAAGTTTCTGTGTTTATATTTTCCAAAATTTTCAACAAAGTACTGAGAAAGTGGTTGTGAAAATTCTGAAGCTACCTTCACTCTTTATCTCTCCTGATGAAGGAAATTAAGAAAAGCAGCCCATTTGGAAGTACATAGGGAAGGAGATGGTTCTAGTACCACAGATAACACACAAGAGGGAGCAGTGCAGAGCCACGGTACAAGCACCTCTTACAGCGTTGGCGCTGTCTTCAGAGATCTCTGGCATGCTGCTTTCTTTTTATCAGGGTTTGTATTTATTCAAGGCTTTATATGGCATAAAGATCCACTATCCCTTTTATGACACTTCTATCTCATAAATACTAATGACTTTAAATATGACAGCCTCAGTGTGAATTTTTTTTAACAAATTATAATGCTAGAGAATGCAAAAATGGAAATCATAATGTTTACTTTGAATTATATATAAATACATTGATATGAGAATGAATATATACTAACAAAGTATATTTACTTAAGATTTCTTGAATTTGATTTTACAGTTATCAAGTGCTATTTTGCTTCTGATAATTTATTTTTCTCAGTTTTATAGGTCAAAACTGTTAATTAATATGTCATGTGAGTTGGGTAAAGTTTTCTTCTAATTTCCTCACTAAATTATCCAAAATTACCTGATGCATTGACATTGTTATTCAAGTGAATAGGATGTATACTGTATCATGAAATTCTTTTGTGCATGAAACTTTTTATACAATTTGTACCATTAGTGAAGATTTGCCAAATGGCAAGATACAATCACATCAGACTTCAAAATAAATTAAACCAGACTTAATCTTGTGATGTTATGTTGAATATTTAAGCCAAAACATTTAAGAATAATGTTATTCATATATATATATATAAAATAAAATTTAAAAGTTAAAAAAGCTGTGATTAAAATATTCATTGTAACTAATAAAAGGTGCTAAATTAACATCAAGAAAAGGGATACTGTAAATAACTATTTTCATTCATTTTGTTAACTGTAATATCCCCATTTCATCCATTTATGATTGTGCTCTTATGATAAAGTTTATCATACATTATGTCACTAAGCAATTATATCCTGGGCATATTTTCATTCAGTGTGATTTTTTGGGAAAGTTTTCAAAAATTATAATAGTTGCAGTAATATGGCATAAATTAAGTTGAAACCCTTATCTTGTGCCTCCTCCAGAGAGGGTGTTTTTGGTTTTTTGAATTGGGTTACAGTCTGTCTATATATTTCTGTCTTCTTAGTCTTATTTTTTCAAATAGGTCTCTAACAGTAGGATATGACAATTTAATCACTGAAGAGTAATTTTTTAATCTTTAATTTTTTTGTTTGTTTGTTTAAGAGAGAGAGAGCAAGCTTCCATACTATCCAGTGGTTCACTCGCTAAGTGTCCACAATGGCTAGGGCTAGGGCCGACTGAAGTTGGGATCCATGAACTCAATCCATGTCTCCTATGGAGATGTCAGGGACCCAGCTACTCGAGCCATCAACTACTTCCTCCTGAGGTGCATATTAGCAGGAAGCTGGGAATGGAATGGAGCTGGGACTTGAACCCAGGTACTCTGATATGAGACATGGGATACAAGTGGCATTTTAACCACTGTGCTAAACACCCACCCTCATTGTCAGTTTCTTAGCCATTTCTCAAAGTCTTCAGAGAAGCAGTTAGGATTAGCATAGTGGCTATCTTTTTTTTTTTTTTTTTTTAAGATTTTATTTGAGAAGTAGAGTTACAGACAGTGAGAAGGAGAGATATAGAGATAAAGGTCTTCCTTCTGTTGGTTCACTCTCCAGATGGCCGCAATGGCAGGAGCTATGCTGATCCAAAGCTAGGAGCCAGCCAGGAGCTTCTTCCGGGTTTTCCACGCGGGTGCAGAGACCCAAGTACTTAGATCATCTTTTTTTTTCTAAGATTTTAAAATTTTTATTTGAAAGTCAGAGCTACACAGAAAGAGAGAGGTCTTCCATCCATTGGTTGGCTGCAATGGCCAGAGCTACACCAATCCAGAGCCAGGAGCCAGAAGCCAGGAGCTTTCCCCCAGTTCTCCCATGTAGGTGCAGGGGCACAAGGACTTGAGCCATCTTCTACTGCTTTTTCAGGCCATGGCAGAGAACTGGATGGAAGTGGAGCAGCCAGGACTCTAACCAGCATCCATATGGGTTGCCAGCACTGCAGGTGGCAGCTTCACCTGCTACACCACAGTGCTGGCCCCTAACTATCTTTTCTTTTCAGAGTGATCTTTGAATGTTTTGGTTGTCTGCTGTCAATATTGTTTTATGTATAGTGTTCAGAACCCCTTCTAAAACTAGTAGATTGATGCCTTTGGAAGTTTGACATGTTTCTCTATTCAAATAAGACTTGGACTTCACTTTTCCTCCATTGGGCTATAGCATAACTGTGACTGTGGCTACTAGTCATTGCTATTGTAGTGGCCAACTCCTTTGTATTTATTCACTTATATTTATTTATTTTTTTGACAGGCAGAGTGGACAGTGAGAGAGAGAGAGACAGAGAGAAATGTCTTCCTTTGCTGTTGATTCACCCTCCAACGGCCACCGCGGCTAGCGCGCTGCAGCCGGTGCACCATGCTGATCCAAAGGCAGGAGCCAGGTGCTTCCTCCTGGTCTCCCATGGGGTGCAGGGCCCAAGGACTTGGGCCATCCTCCACTGCACTCCCGGGCCACAGCAGAGAGCTGGCCTGGAAGAGGGGCTATCGGGACAGAATCCGGTGCCCTGACTGGGAATAGAACCCGGTGTGCCAGCGCTGCAGGCGGAGGATTAGCCTAGTGAGCCACGGCGCCAGCCGTATTTATTCACTTTAATCATGACTACTAAATTTTTCTTTTAATGCACCATTTCATCTTCCTCATTTTGGGGCCAGTTTGCCAGCATATGAATGAGACTGTTTTAAGTATTAGGTACAAACAAATCTGAAGAGAAATGTTAATTTTAGAAGTCCTAAGCTGCGTTTTGAAATCTTGTTGATACGGTGTTCTTTTGGACTTTGATAAGTCAGGAAGGCTTAAATTGAAATATCAATTGAGACTTACCAAAATTGTTTCTGGTGATAACTAACATAACTGATGAGAAAATTAAGTGAATAACCACATAAGTATCTGGGCTTTGTGTATGGTGTTTTGATGGTTTTCTAGATGTTAGGATGAAACCTACTATTTAAAAATCCTGTATAAGTTGAAAAGTTGCTATTTTTCATCTCTTAGTACATTTCTTTCTTAAGATAAAACTATTTGTTTTAAAGCAAGTCATAATACTTCTCTTGAGAAAATTAAGATTACTATTTAAAAAAGCTGTATGAACCTAAGAAAATAAAGCCCACGAAAGTATCAATTTGAAAAGACAAATCAGTCATACTTCCTCAGGGTTTGGTACTTTTTAATTTCAGTTAATTGTTATCTTAATTAACATAATTATAGTTTCTACCTATAAGATTAACTAGGAAAGACTATGTCTTGATTGTGTAGCTCTTCAGCATAATACCTCTCTCAGAATTTAGATAGACCCTCAAGGTTTCTGTCCTGTCCTTTAAGATACATTTGATCATTGCAGTGATGCTGAAAAGCAGGCAGCAGGCAGGCAGTTTGCTTTGTAGCGCACATGAATTGACTTGGTGGGTTAGGAGCAGACGCCAGAGTAAAACAGCACACATTAATTTGTAGTTCTGAGCAGCCTAGCGACCTTTCTCCGGCTATTCCATCTCTCTAACCAAATACATTGCTCTTACACAATCTGCCTCATGGGCCTGACAAGCTTTCCAGTCTTCTTGTACCACATTTATCCCCCTTTTCCTTTCCTTTTCAGCCCAGTCTAATTCGCATGAAACTTGATATACCTTTTCAGCACACTCCTTCTTTTTTAACTTCACGTGGTCCTTTCTCACATCTGTGTCCTGCACGCTGTTCAAGGAAGGGGTAAAGGGAACAATTAATGACCAACATTCCTGTCGCTTTTCTTCCCCAGGCAGAGAGGCTCACTTAGGTCACAAGTCTTCTCTGTACCTTTTGTTAACTATTTTTGCCCATTTTCCTCTTCTCTATTACCCATTTTTCTTCCTCTCCCCTCCCTTGTTAAATAATCTTTATTCTATGGCTCATTATTCTCTTGGTCTCTCCATGCCTCTGCAGATCATTAGAAAGAAAAGCATCAGGAGATTGGGCTTCCAGGTTTTGCACCTCCGTGGAGATGAATTGTGAATGACTAAAAAGGTTTAGAATTCTGTAGACCATATGGAAAATATAGTTTGAGTGTCACCTTTAAGAACTCTGTGGGAAAAGGTCAGGAAGGAGAGGGGCCTATTTATGTAAAAGACAGAAACTTTCTAGGCAGAAATCCTAACTTTTCCCACCGAGTGAGCGGGAGGAGGTAGTATGGAGACTATAACTAACCTCATAGGCAGATCTGTATTCCAATGCCAGCCTCTGCTGTATTTGGTTGTATGACCTTAAATTTGTCAAATAGGCTTTTTTGTTTCCAAAATGAGCATTTAGAATAGGTGAGTTCTAAGACACTGCCCAGTTTTAAAGCACCTGTTTCAATAGAACTGAGTTTTTTTTCCTTTTTTGCTTTTTGACCTATATGACAGCATTATACTAATTTTATTTTTCCTTCCTTGCAAAACTCATACTCTGGAGAAGATTCGAGATTTATTTAAACATAATTGCTTTTAAATAATGTTTTATGATAGACTTAATCTGCACTGAGCACATTGTGATTGTGAGTGTAACTTACATTTCCACTAACCATTTCTTTGGATAGCCACTCCTTCACCTACTGTAACTCTAAAAAGAACTCCTCATGCATTCTCCTATTAATAAAAAATGTCTTGTTGTTTCCCATGTTTATTTGTATATTGAGAAAAATTTTGTTATTATAAATGAATAAACTCAGTGCTAGCCTGGTAGATATTTTAAGATACATGCTTACTAATCATGTAGTAAAAAATTACATTCTGTTTTTCCCAGAGAGTATTTCAGTAGGTGAAAGAGGTTATTTATTTTCATTGTGTTCTTCATTTGTACATTTTTTTCGTTATTTAGAACCTTTTTGGAAGTTTACATTTCCATTGTATATTCAAATGAATTTATCAGATATATTTATGTATATATACTTTGTGTATATATAAAGTGTTTGAGTAAAGTAGAATATTAAAACTAAGTTAAACCATTGATTACAACTTAAACTGCTAAATGTCAAAATAACCATCATAACCATAATAAAATAAATTTGTTCCAAGACTAGATTAGGTGATTGTGATTCAGAATTGTTAAGTTATGGCATGTCTCTTAGCGTTGCTATTTGTAAGATCTTGAAGCTTCTCAAGTAAGCTGGTTAGGGACATTAACTTTCATATGTATGTTATCTGATATCTCTAAGTTATTTATTGTGAAATAAAGGTAGCCTTTCGAATTATGAGAAAGATAATTGTTAACATATCATTATTTCTATATGTGACCCAGCCAAAATAAACCAAGTCCATATAACATTCTCTGTTTTCCTTTCTAGGTCAAAGAAAGCAAAGAATTCAATTGATAAATCAACTGAGACTGACAATGGCTATGTATCACTTGATGGGAAGAAGACTGTTAAAAGCAGTGAGGATGGAATACAAAGCCATGAACCTCAGTGTGAAACAGTTGGACCAGAAGAGACAGCCTGGACCACAGGAACACTGAGGAGTGTTCCCAGCAAAGTAGGTGTGATTTTTAACTAGTTTGCTTGTGTGATTTTGTGTAAGCTAATGTAAACTAGCTTAGAAGTTGTAGTTATCTTTGAACTATTTGCACCAGAATTTATTCTGTGGGCCTTTATATCTATAACACCAATGAAGCTAAAATTAGATAAATTTTTATCATTAAACTTCATTGCCAATGTAATTTGGTACCTTCTGAACTTATTGATGGTTTCAATTTTTCCAGTCTCAAGACACTTTATAGTGGATACCTGTTAAGCCTTATTTTTTTCCCTTGTTTCCAGGGGTATATGATATTTGCTTTAAGCCAAACATCTAAATTATTCTAAAAGCTGAATCCATTTTCCACTCCTGTTCTCTATAAGGAAATGTCTTGTTATTCCTAAATGTATTACTTTTAGTGTCAGCAATCTGTTTTGTTTTTGATCTGAAAAATCAAATGATAACAATTACTTGTTTACTTTTCCAAATAATTAAAGACATTCTAGGCTTTTGTAACAAAACCTAATGTTGTGTATACTATTTGTTTTGCTGCTTTTCTCTGGTTAAGTAATTTGTTCTTTAAGAGCTGTTACAGTAAAGGAAAATATAGTCAAATTAAAGGTGTTACCTCTGTTACATTTAGGAATGTGTGCATGAGGCTTTTGTGTTGAGGGTAATAAAAGAAGATTCTCTAATTTTGGTGAAGAATGTGTTACTACTTAATTTATATGCATATTTTTTAGTATTAGTAGCTATAGAACAAGTGTGGACCTATGTAATATAATCCATTGCTGTGAGTTTTAGATTTTTCAAGCATTTAATTCTGTTGATATGAATTTCACATCGCTATTGTCACTCAGGAGATAAGTTTCCAACTACACAGTTTTCAAACACATTTTCAGATACGTATTACCTTCTAAAGTGACAGGAAAATGAAGATAACAACAAAACTTAAGCTCTGGGGTCTCCCAATCTCAGAATTTCTGAAATCCGAGTGTCTCTTACAAATTGATACACACATACTATCTGGTATGTGTACGTATTCAAGTAGCATTTGCCTCATCATGTCCCATAGCCATTATTTTTTTAAAAAGATTTATTTATTTATTTGAAAGTCAGAGTTACACAGAGGGAGAAGGAGAGGCAGAGAGAGAGAAAGAGAGGTCTTCCATCTGTTGGTTCACTCCCGATTGGCCGCAGTGGCTGGAGCTGCACGGATCCAAAGGCAGGAGCCAGGAGCTTCTGCCAGGTCTCCCACACAGGTGCAGGGGCCCAAGGCATTGGGCCATCTTCTGCTGCTTTCCCAGGCCATAGCAGAGAGCTGGGTTGGAAGTGGAGCAGCCGGGTCTTGAACCAGCGCCTGTATGGGATGCCGGCACTGCAGGCAGCAGCTTTACTGGCTATGCCACAGCACTGGCTCCTGTAGCCATTATTAATCAGTGGTGGGTCTAAGTATTGATAGCTATTTTGGTTAAAATAGTATCATTAGCTTTTTTCAATTTTTTCAACTTACTTTAAAGGGCCTCTATTCTGCTTTTATCCTGTTTTATATGTCTATTTGGTAAGCTGTTTCAAATCCTGTCATGAATAGAAATATTTTAAGAATATATGACAGGCTGGCACCGTGGCTCACTAGGCTAATCCTCCACCTTGCGGCACCAGCACACCGGGTTCTAGTCCCGGTTGGGGCGCCGGATTCTGTCCTGGTTGCCCCTCTTCCAGGCCAGCTCTCTGCTGTGGCCCGGGAAGGCAGTGGAGGATGGCCCAAGTGCTTGGGACCTGCACCCCATGGGAGACCAGGATAAGTACCTGGCTCCTGCCATCAGATCAGCGCGGTGCGCCGGCCGCAGTGCCTGGCCATGGCGGCCATTGGAGGGTGAACCAATGGCAAAGGAAGACCTTTCTCTCTGTCTCTCTCTCTCACTGTCCACTCTGCCTGTCAAAAAAATAAAAAAATTTAAAAAAAATATATGACAAATTGCTGTTGAATTACCATTAAAAATATACTTTAAAACTATAGTCACTGACAACACATTTTCACAGAAAACTAAGTAGTGCTAATCAATTACTTTGAGATAGTGAAGATATTTTGCAGGTGTGTTTGTCTGTGTAATTTACATTTTTCCCAATGTAAAAGCCTAGAAATCATTCAGAAATAAACCATAATCCTCTTTGTGTGCTCCCAATTTAGGATACCCAAAGGACAGTAACAAATGTCTCTGATGAAGTGTCCAGTGAGGAAGGTCCTGAAATAGGATACCCAGTACGCCGTCATGTGGACAGGACCTCTGAAAGCATTCTTCGGAATAGAAAGTCACATCATTATAAGAAGCATTACCCTAATGAGGTATACACTCGAACCTTATATATGTAAATATGTATGCCTATTTTATGTGTTAGTAATTTACAACTTTCTCAGCAGTGGAATATTGGGAAATAAATATTTCCCCATCATTGGTTGTATAGAGTAACAGTTTTAGATTTATGTATCATACACATATTGATGGATAGCCATACAGGTATATTCATTTTGTGTATTATCTCTGAAAACATTTGCCTTCAGTTTGTTGTTTACTTTTGAAGACCATCCCACAAGGACCATCTGCAAACTCCTGTGTTAGTAACTTGAAAGGTTTTATCAGTGCTTGATGATGGCAAAATTACTATCCTAAGTGACTTCCTTCATGGTACTGTCACCAGTTCTTAAGTTCCCCGTATTGGAAAATTCATTCTTTTACTGTTTGATTCTGCTTTTCATTATTGATTTTTGTTTTTCCCAACTTTGTGACGTCGATTGACCTCAACACTATTTAGATAGGGAAAGAATTTGATTGCATTGTACTTTCAGTTTGCATTCTAAGGACAGAAAATTTCACTACCTACTTCAAAGGAACTGAATTACCCTTTCAGCACTTCCTGGTAAACATGGCCTTCTCCTTTTGAACTTTTTTAGTATGTTTTCCCTTGATGGTTTTAGGGTAAACTTGAGAAAAATCAAATGCTATTCCATTTTGGAATACTAAAAGAATTCTTATTCTTCAGTTGTACTTCTCTCTGGTTTCATTTCTGGTTAAACTTTCTAGTAGTTGTGGTTGTGTTCTTTTCTCAGTGGCTGCCGTGAGACAGATACCAACCCAAGTGAGTCTGCTCATTGCCTCTTCACCCACATCATCTGATGTGCTGTCTCCTGTTCCTAAACCGAGTAACCACGCTTGTGAAACTTACAGTTTTGCTCCACAGTTGGAAGTCAGTGCTGCAAGGGAGCTGGAGAGCCGTTTGACTCCTCTCCTACAGAATAAATTATTTGGCTTCAGAATTACTTTTCTCACCCAGTGATCTTTGCTCTTCTTGGTTTGTAGCTGTATTTTGAATTATGGAGATTCTTGAAGAGCAGACCATTATCCTATTAATCTTAACTTTTAAATAGACATGTTACTGAAAATCTTTGAGATTTCAACCTAAAGTTGATATTGGGCATTGGTTGTTTTAAATCTTTTTTTTAATGATATAAAAGATTACATAAAAATAAAATATGGTTTTCAGTTTTGTGGTTTTTTTTTTTTTTTTAAAGATTTATTTATCTATGAGAGAGAGAGAAGTAGAGAAAGGAATCTTCTGTCTGCTGGTTCACTCCCCAAATGGCTGCAACAGCCAAATCTGGGTTAGGCTGATCCCAGGAGCCAATTACATAATCCAGGTCTCCCACATGGGTGTCAGGGGCCCAAATACATGGGCCATCATCCACTGCCTTCCCAGGCAGGAAGCTGGATCTGAAGTGGAACAGCTAGGATTCAGACCAGCATCCGGATAGGCATCACAGGCAGCAGCCTAACTCACTGCACCATATGCTGGCCCCAGGTCTTCCAGTTCTTAATCTGAGCAGTGAAGAACTAATACCAGAAGATAAAAGCTACTTTGATTTCCCAAAAGTTTTGACTCTCTTATATCTAACCAACTTTAAAAGACATTTTTAAAAAATAAAATAAAATTTCTCTTAAAAAAGGAAAATTGAGACAGAAGACTTATGGTGCTGTTCTACATCTTTGTTTATATCATAAGTTACTCTCTTCAAATTACTGGTGATATTTTTTCTTTAGGACTAAGGCGTGCACATACACACAATATCATTTGGGTCAACCCAAGCACAGTGAACATCTTTAGTACTCAGATTGTGCCATTTTTATTATTTGAAATACACACACAAACATTAAAAAAAAAAAAAACAGGACTTTTTGAAGAAATGGCTGATTCTAGACTCTTATCTGTTTCAGAAAATACTCAGGATGACTTTGGAACCTCTTGACATGATAGAGAGCAAGGAAACTATCAATGACTCCTCTGGGCTTTTCCAGAAAGATGCAGGAGACAAATATAAAACAGTTTCCATTTTAGGTTTTCCTCATAAAAATATCCCAACTAATAAGTGAATACACTTGTCTTGTATAGCACTTTGTGCATAGATGGATGAGTCCGGAACCCCTCCCTTTGCTGTCAGCCTCTCCAATGGCGATATCCATAGATGTACTTTTTAGGGGTACCCAGTTTTCAGAGGAATCATCCACAAGTTCTAGTGGCATGGATGTAGTGTACCAGGCTGCATAGTGCTTGGCACCAGGTTTGTGGGGATGAGGGGGTACCTTGTTACTCGAAGTATATACTTTGCATAATCTTCCTGTTTTATCTACCCCTTTTTTTCTACTACCTACTGTATCCATTTGGCTTCTTCCATTCTCCTGTTGGGAAGATGGTGGTGGAGTTATTTGGTTATCTGAGGGAACTGACAGGTTCTTTTAAGCATTAGTCTTATTTCCTTCCTGTCTTGCTTTATTCCTAAAGAATTTTTCAAATTTAACTCTAATGCAATTAAATTTTTCAAATTTAACTCTAAATTCATGGGAAACATAATGAAGAAGCCATGGGTTTGAGTCAGACCATTTAGGTGACTTTAGGGAAATTATCTAGCTTCTATGAGTCCCAGTTTCTGTACCTGTGTACTAGGAGGGTAAGATCAGCCTCATCAAATCATTTATGGTTAAGTAAGATTAGGCAAAAATTGCCTGGCATAAGGCATCTATATTATAAATGCTTATTTCCTTCAAATAAATAATCTGTCTCCTCTAAGTTTAATTATATGTTCAATTTTAGCTATCTCCCTAAAGAGTTGAAAAAGCAGAGCAAACTGAATTAAATGTGGATAACTTGAACTATTTTCTTCAGTGCTAAAATTTTCTAATTTTAGGTTTAATTCAAAAGTTTGTATGTGGAATTCAAAGTGGCTGTTGATTATTTAAATATTGTAGTTAAATTCTAGTTGGAATGTAAGCAATCATAATAATTTTTAGATTTTACATGTGGTTCACATATTAGCCAGTGTTTGACAAAATATGGAATTATTGATATTTCCTTATCCCTGAAGTCATCAATTAATTTCAGTTCAATAATCATTAAGCGTTAGTACTGATTTCTGTATATGATTAGTAAATTTATATCAGAAGTTTGTGATAGATAATAAAGTAGCCTTATCAAAAATTTTAAATTGGTGGCAGACATTTAGCACAGCAGTTAAGATGCTACTTGGCACATCTACATCCCAAATTGGGATGGCTGGGTTCAAGTTCTGGCTCCACTCCCAATTCCAGCTTCCTGCTGATGTGTACCCTGGGAAGCAGTAAATTAGCCCTTAAATAGTTGAGTCCCTACCACCCATGTGGGAGACCCAGATTGAGTTCTGGGCTGCTGGCTTTCATCTGGTCTAGGCCCAGCTATTGTGAGCAGTTGGGGAGTGAACGAGCAGCTGGGAGCTCACTGTCATGCTGTCTGTCTCCCTGCCTTTCAAAATAAATAAACTGACTTTTCAAAAATTTTAAATTAGCAATTATAAGAAACACAATGATTTTTGGTTTTTGTTATCTAATAAAAATGGTTACAAACAAAAATGCTTAAGGGGCGGTACTATGGCATAGTGGGTAAAGCTGCGGCTTGCAGTGCCAGCATCCCATATGGATGCCGGTTCGAGTCCCGGCTGCTCCACTTCCTGATCCAGCTCTCTGCTATGGCCTGGGAATGCAGTAGAAGATGACCCAAGTCCTTGGGCCCCTGCGTCCATGTGGGAGACCCAGAAGGAGCTCCTGGCTTCAGATCAGTGCAGCTGTAGCCATTGTGGCCAATTTGGGAGTGAACCAGCGAATGGAAGACACCTCTCTCTCTCTTTCTCTCTCTCTCAGCCGCTCCTTCTCTCTCTGTATAACTCTGACTTTCAAATAAATAAATAAATCTTTAAAAAAAAAAAAGAAAAAAAAGCTTAAGCTTCCAGTATTCTCATTTACATTACTGAGCCAAAAATATTTTGAATACTTTTTGTAAAACAAATGGATTTTTTATCTTTTCTATTTCCTTATTCATTTTCCTATTCATTTCATTTCAGAAGTTTTTTACTTCTCCCCAAACAGTCCTGCTCCCACACTCAACACACTAAAGATAAATTGATGCTGTCCCATTCTAACCAACAGATTATCACTAATGTCTCTCATTTATTCAATATATTTTTTTTTACCTGTGGTAAGGAAATAGTGCTGGCTTCTGTCTTTTGTAAACTAAGTGACAGTTATGATTTAGTTGACAGTATTAAATATGTGAAGATATAATTTAAGCATAGATTTTGGAAAGCAATGTAAAATTTATTGTTAGATGAAAATACATGTATACATATAAAAACTCACTTCAAACAAAATAATTAGACAGGTGGCTTTTAAACATTTGTTGAGTACCTGCTTTTTGCCAGATTTGCATTAAAAGCTGCAGCGCTCATTTAATTTTCAATATCTTGAAAGAGAGCAAGATAAATGTAAATGATGAAGGAGAAACACATAGGCTAGGGTGGCAAAGAATAAGTGATGTTTTGGGGCTGGGTAACCCCGTGTCATTAGAGGAAAAGGTTGTGGTCTAAAGCAGAAAACGGTCAAAAGTGGCACAGGTAAAGACAAGCAGGCTGGGTGAATGAATTTGAACTTTATCCAGGAGAGCAACAAGAACCTCTGGAAGGATTTTGGTTAGCAGAGTGAAAGAGGTGAATCTGGGAAGAGGGGGAAGGTCTTTGAGGTGGTGATCAATTGGGAGGGACCTTTAATAAGGTGTGAATGATAAACTCTGAACTCTGTGACTCATGTTTATTTTATGTGTTAAAAACTCCTAGTATAAAATAAATTGTATAGAAATTAGAAATTACTTGTGCCTTTTAGCTTTCCACTTTTGTAACATAGATTATCTCAAGAACAAGAGTTGTCAGTTATCTTCTTGGTCTAGATTCTCTGTTAATTTATTGAACTTCTGTTTGAGAAACAAAATGATCGGTGAAATTTATTGCTAAGCAAGTAAGAGCATAGCTCTATTAAAAGCATCAGTTTAATTAGGTTAATAGTCACTGAGTAGATCATATGAACGTGACCTAGTGCCTGCCTACCTGAATTCTGAACTTCATATAACATGTAAGAGAAAATAGGCACAGCCTTTGCAGGCAGAGTAACTCCTGAGCTGAAATACGAAAATGCTTAATGGGTGGTAAATTTTGATGTCAGGGCATTTGTCAGTCCTTAGAATTAATATGTATATTTAATGTTTTGCTGTCTGTTTCACTGTCCTTTGACGGTGTACTGATTGTTTTAGAGTAAGTGGATATTTATGGTTCTGATAGACTCCTTTGAGTTGGTAAGGATACATAAATTGTATTAATGTCAAAGAATATCTTGATTTCAGGATGCCCCTAAATCGGGTACTAGTTGCAGCTCTCGCTGTTCAAGTTCCAGACAGGATTCTGAGAGCGCAAGGCCAGAGTCTGAAACAGAAGATGTGTTGTGGGAAGACTTGTTGCATTGTGCAGAATGCCGTTCATCTTGTACCAGTGAGACAGATGTGGAAAATCCTCAGATTAATCCATGTGTGAAAAAAGAATATAGAGACGACCCTTTCCATCAGGTTGGTTTACAGTGTTGGATTATGTGGGGCTATCAGTCAAGCTCCTTTGAATGTATATACAGATTTTACGGAGGTGAAGAAAAAGCTTACATTTAATTAAAATAGTATTCCTGTAAAAATTTTTTTCCCCTTTTTGTGTGAGCTATGACCTGGCTTCATTAGAACACAGAATCTCAGTATTTGTTGTGGGTTGTTTCCCTCATCTTGCAAACCTAAGTTCCTGAGAAGTTGTTGGTGCATGAGTTCTGTTAAGTTGGATCATGTTTTAGATGTATTTGGCCTTTTTTCACTCACACACTTTGTGATTATGTTCATGTACATGTTGGCCTGAATTCCACTATAAGATTATCATTCATAAATTTACATCTCATGAATGTCAAACTTATGGCTTAAAATGCCTATGTAATGCTACCCAATAGGAATACAAACTAGTATAAAATTTTCTGAATAGCCTAATTTAAAAAAGCACTTAAAAATAAACTTAATTTTAATGTTTTATTTAAGCCAATATATATAAAATGTTATCACTTTAATATAACATATGAAAAATATTAATGAAGTATTTTTACATTTTCTTATACTAAATCTTGAAACTCCAGTGTAAACCCTTAAAATACATCTGTTTTGGGACTAGCCACATTTCAAGTGCTGACTAGTCATATGTGAGTAGGCTGCTATATTGAACAGCAAAGTCCTGTAGGATACATTCATTCAAGTATCCCACCAATACTTCAGATTTAACCAGATTCCCCACATTCCCTTTTAAATCTTTTTTTTATTATGTTCAAATCTTGGTGAATGGCATTCCATCCATTCACTCAGCAGTCCAGAAACCTGATAGTCACTTAAAAAAATCCTTATTCTGTCTCAGCTTTCTCCCTCTAACCAAGTCATTATTAAATCCCATCAGTAAAACCAACAAGTGTCTACGAAATTAGAAATAGAAGAGAACTTCCTCAATCTGAAACAGGGTCGTTCACAAAGAATCTTCTACTTAACAGAATCCCATAAACTAGGTGGCTTAAAGAGCAAACATTTATTTCTCATAGTTCAGGTGACTAAAAGTCCAAGATCAGGGTTCCAACATGGTCAGATTTGCAGAATCCTTCTTCCTAGTCTATAGACTGTTTTCTTCCCCTTGCACCCTCAGTTGGCAGGGAGAATGAGCTCTGGTCTCTTTACCTGGTAAGGGCACACTAATCTCATTATGAGGGCTCTTCTCTAATGACCCAGTTCCTTCTAAACACCATCACACTAGGGAATTAGGCTTAAGTATGTGAATTTGGGGGACAGAGCACAAACATTCGGCCTGTAGCCTTTTGTTTTTTTTTTTTTTTTAAAGATTTAATTATTGGGGCTGACGCTGTGGCATAGCAGGTAAAGCCCCCACCTGCAGTGCTGGCATCCCACATGGGCACCAGTTCGAGCCCTCTCTGGTCTACTTCCTATGCAGCTTTCTGTTATGGCCTGGGAAAGCAGTGGAGGATGGTCAGAGTCCTAGGGCCCCTGCACCCATGTGGAAGACGTAGAAGAAGCTCCTGGCTCCTGCCTTCAGATCAGCACAGCTCTGGCCGTTGCAGCTGTCTGGGGAGTGAACCAGCGGATGGAAGAACCATCTTCCCCCCACCCCCCGCATCTGCCTTTCAAATAAATAAATAAATCAATCTTTTTTTAAAAAGATTTATTTATTTGAAAGAGTTACAAAGAAAGAAAGACAGAAAGAGATCTTCTGCTTGCTGGTTTGCTCCCTAGTGGCCAGTGCTGGGCCAGGCCAACACCAGGAACCAGGAGCTTCATCCAGGTCTCCCAATGGGTGGCAGGTCCCAAGCACTTGAACCATCTTCTGCTGTTTTTCCTAGGCTATTAGCAGGGATCTGGATTGGAAGTGGAGCAGCTGGGACACAAACCAGCGTCCATATGGGATGCTGGTGTCACAGGTGGTGGCTTTACCCCGCTGTGCCAAAGCGCTGGCCCCATTTAGAGCTAGATTTTTGACGATGAAATTTCTATGAAAGACAGGACATGCCTTTCATCATGGTTTTTTGTGATAAAATGCTAACAGCATATTTTTGGTTGGATTTAGACTGAAAGTCCACGCTGAAGAGCAAAACAGTTTAAGAGCAAGGGGTAAACTTTACCTGCTAAATGTTTCAAATTCATGTTAAGTTTAATACTTTAAGGTAGTGTGATGTGGACGTATAAACAAATAGGCCAGTAGAACTGAATAGAAAACCTGGAAATAGATGCATGCTGATCTGGATCCCTGATATGTAACAAATCAGTGGTGGAAGGAGGGAGTATGTGGGGGTGAGTCATTCCAGATAGTTCCTAAATATAAAGAAGCAGAACTTTAAACATTTCAAAGAAAATAAATGAGAATATATTTTATTTTACCTTAGAAGAGAATTTTTGTAAAGCAGATATAAAAATATAAACAACAAAATGAGAAGGTTGGTTCATTTAAATATTAAGTATCTTAAAATTTAAAAGCTTTGGTGGTGGATGTTTGACGCAGTGGGTTAAGATGCCACTTGGGACTCCTGCATACCACTGGTGAGTCCTGGGTCCTCTGCTTCTGATCCAGCTGCCTGCTAATGTACACCCTGAGAGACAGCAGATGATAGCTCAAGGACATGGGGCACTGCCTTTCCCCTGGAGACCAGATTGAGTTCCTGGCTCCTGGCTTCAGCCTAGCCCAGCCATGGCTGTTGGGGGCATTTGGGGAATGAACTATTGGATGGAAGATCTCTGTCTGTCTCTCTATCTGCCTTTCAAGTAAAATGAAAATAAATACATTTTTTAATTCAAAATTATGGGCTACAAATGAAACCTAAATGCTATTAAAAATTATGCTACAGACTGAGAGGAGATATTTACAGCACATTAAGTATCAAAGTTGTTCTATACAGAGCACATTAAGAATCCCCTACAGATGAGTGAGTAAAAGACAATTGACTCAGTAGAAAAGTGAACGTAAGGATGTGCACAGGCAATTTGCCTGGATGACTAATAAATTTAAGGAAATATCAAAAAGTTCATGGAAAATGAAATTAAAAGATAATGTGAATTTTCCATGAAGTTTTTGAAGGCCTCTTGTATAAGTAAAAACAGTTTTCTTATAGTCAGGGAAGTATAAATTAGAGCAATGTGGTACTATTTCATATTGATAAGATAATAAAAATTTTTAAATGTTAAATTTCAGTGTTGGCAAGAATGAAGAAAGAACTCTAAGTACTGATGTTAGTATAAATTTGACCAACAACCTTGGAGAGCAGTTTATCATTATGTAGTAAAATTTAAGTTCTACATACTAGAAGACCTTTTTACCCTCATTCCAGTGAAATTTTGGAAGATGGACACCAGGAGACATGTAAAAAATAACAATTGTGTTGTACATGATGAGAATTTGAAAATAGCATAATTATCAGCAGTAGTAGAATTAGTAAGTGATAGGAAATGATGCAGCAGTGAAATTGAATTTAGCTAGTTCTGTCAACATGAGTAAGTTGTGAATATAATTTTCCATTAGAAATTGAAATATAGGGGCTGGCATTGTGGCACATTGGGTTAACTTGCTACCAGTGATGCTGTCATCCCATATGGATGCTGATTCAAATCCCAACTGCTACACTTCCAATCCAGCTCCCTGCTAATGTGCTTAGAAAATCAGTGAAAGATGCCCCAAGTACTTGGGCCCCTAAAATCCACATGGGAGACCTGGATGGAGTTCCAGGCACCAGGCTTCAGCCTGGCCCAACCCTAGCAGTTGCAGCCATTTGGGAAATGAGCCAATGGGTTGAAGATCTCTCTGGCTCTCCCACTCTTTCTGTAACTCTGCTTTCAAGTAGATAAAATAAATCTTTAAAAACATTCCTTCCTTTCTTTATAAAATTGAAATATAAATCATACTTTTGAATGAAAAAGACAGCTTGCAAAGCTGTATAGAAGATCATGTATATAAAGCTTCAAAACATGCCAAACTATATTACATATTGTTTGGATAAAAGCATATATTTAGGGATGTAGACGCATACAAGAGAATAATAATAATAATAATAATAAAATTTAGGGTATTAGACCTAGGGAATAAAGGAAGAGAATGGAACAGAGAACCATACAAAATGATTTTCAAGTTTACCTGTGATATTTTATTTATTAAAGTATCTGGAGGAAATACAAGGAAAAGTTTAAATATGATAAAGCTGACTGTTACTATCATTCTCTGATTGAAATGTTTCAGTTAAAAAATTACTCACTGGTTTTGGCTTTGGCTATAGGAAAAGAGACCTGAGAAAGGAAGCCTCACTACAGGAGGTTGAGGGCTGAGAATGGGGAATGTAGTTTAAGAAGCATGAGTATGGGGGCCAGCGCCGTGGCGCACTTGGTTAATCCTCCGCCTGCAGCACTGGCATCCCAAATGGGCGCCAAGTTCTAGTCCCGGTTGCTCCTCTTCCAGTCCAACTCTCTGCTGTGGCCCGGGAGGGTAGTGGAGGATGGCCCAGGTGCTTGGGCCCTACACCCACATGGGAGACCAGGAGGAAGCACCTGGCTCCTGGCTTCAGATCGGTGTAGCTCCAGCCGTTTCGGCCATTTGGGGAGTGAACCAACAGAAGGAAGACCTTTCTCTCTGTCTCTCTCTTACTGTCTGTAACTCTGTCAAATAAATAAATAAAATCTTTAAAAAAAGAAAAAGAAGCAACATGAGTATGAAAGCTCGTAGAGAATTAAATGAGTAGTCTGATGGAGGAATAGAGTTGAAGAAGTGTTTCAGCCTCCACCCCTAAAATGTGAGATATCTGAGCACATTTACGTATATAGGAGCAGGCTTGTAGGGAAGCATTGCGGAGGTGCAGAAAGAAAAGTTGATTGGTGGGGTCTGGTTTCTTAGGGTTCTGGAGGTTCCAGTTAGGAAGAGGATCACTCCTGTGCTGAGATAGGAGCAGGAGGGAGTGCATAGCAGCCAGATCAGGAGAGAGCTACTGTCTCATGATCTCTGGCCT